CTCAGATTATAACTGCAGGTTAGTGCATTATTTATTAATAGACAGGAATTCAAGAGATTTGTTCAAACTAACATCCCATGTTTTCTTCTCTCAAGTATTATACATTTCTCCAATCAAACATTGGCTAAAGATTGAACTCCACTTTCTTTTTTTCAAAATTAGGCATAATTATAAGTTAGTGAATCTAATAGTTGTCTCACTGAGCATGTACTGCATTTGTATCTGTTGATGCTTTAAATATGTACAGCTTTGCATCCAGTAACTTTTCTACATATCCATAATCAAGGAACAATTTCTTTCCTTTGACAGTAAATAAATATAATCATTATTTCTCTTCAGATTTACAGACTAAATAAAAAATTTGTATAATTTAACTGGGAAAAACAGTCTACAAAATCAGACGATCAAGAGAGAGTAAGGTTTCTTTTTTGTTTTGTTTTTTAAATCAAGCAGAAATTTTTAAAAAATAGTTCTTTAAATACTTTTTATTTTCCACTAGTGATGATGGTGAGAACTCACTGTAAAATTTTTGAAGATGTTGTTAGTGCAGGTACCTCCAAAAATTTTCTTTAAAAAAAGAAAAAAAGAAAGCATACCATGATGAAAAAAGGTCCCAAATTTAATAAAAACAAAATTTTATTGTCAAAATGTTTATGTTATTAAAAGGAAATACCAAATTATTTTTTGATTATTTTATCAATTTTTTTTTATCCTTTCTAGCACTCTCAAAATTTTGAATAAAAATCTTTTTCTTGTGTCAGTGGGTGGGCCAAAGATTTAGTATAAGGCTTTTTAGCATCCTTTTTGGCATTAAAACCACATTATTTTGGAAATTCTTACAAAAGTCAAATAATTGATGGTTTTTAATTAAATTTTCATGACTTATTCACAAATAAATTATTTTGGAAATTTTTTTTTTTTTTTTACATCTGTTACCCTGACTTATTTAATTTTATTAAATTTTAAGAAATTAAAATTTCAACCTCATCATATTTAAATTAGTTAAAAGCATCAATTTGTTTTTGTCAAACAGAAACATCATTTACTGAAAATCTACTCTAAATCATCAAGTAAAAAATGCAATAAGATGACATTAATTAGAAAAGCTTTTAATATAAGACATATTAAGGACATTATTGTCTTAAAAAAATTTTTTTCAAATTGTTTTCATTTTTTTATTAAATTTTAATTAGAAAAACTTATTAAGTTTTAAATCTTAAAATTCTGTATTAATTTCAGCCTTCTAGATGATTAAGTGAAAATTATATTTACTAATCATAAATGGAAAAGCTTAATGCAAATCAAACACCAACATTTTTAAAAGAATTTTGAATTTTTTTGTATATGTATAAACATGTTGATTTTTGTAAACACAAGTGACCATACATGACATCAGAAAATAAGAGTGATGACTATAGTAAATTTAAAGTTAACATTTCTAAAATAAGTAAAACAGATTAATATTTTTACTAAATTTTTTAAGATAACTGAGTACTTAAAAATTATACAAAAAGTTTTGAACTATGGCAAAGTATTTTGCTTATTGGAAATATTAAATTTATTAGCTTGAAATTAAAACTAAAATAAAAGCTTCCAGATTTTTCATTTTTTAAATTCATTTTAAATCTTAGGCATCATATTTTTTTGTGGTGGTCCCTACTTTAATGATTAAAGTGTTTAGGCATGTGCTTTTGATTATATTCTTGTATATATTACACCACAGACCAATATTTTTTAGTTTTACATACTAAGTTTGGTCAGCATTGAATTTTTCACAATTGTGGCCTTGTATTAGACAAAAGTTTAATAAAGATCTACCTTTGTATCAGCAGCACAAAAAACAGAGTTCAATCTTTAAGGCAGTAACTTTCTTTTTTATATTTATCTTAATATCAACTGAGGACTTCAGTTAAAAAAAAAACTTAAATTATTGAGATGTGAAACAATGTGCCTTTGTTGCCATTAGTCCTTTTAAATTTTCGAAGCTTAATGGCTTTAAATATTCAGATAACTTAGTCTAATGATTAAAATGAGAAACTAGTTTTAGTGAGAATCAGTAGAGACAAAGCACAAATGTTAAATTCTTATGGCATTGTTTATATTTATAATTAATATTTAATAACTAAAATAAATTTGTTAACTGTTGAATATTCTACAGCTAAACGGACAAATTTATTTTATATATTATTAATGTTCAATCACATTATACTTAACACTGCCTTAAATAATCTTCCCAAATTAACCTGGGTGATCAATATTCTGTAAAATACAATATTCATTACTATTGTTTTATGTGTGTGTGTGTGCGCCATTCAAAATAATTTCTATGTGTACATTATCTGTGACAGGAAATATAGTAATACTTTAATTTTTATTTTATGTCTTTGATAATTTTCTGCCATAGTGAAAAATAGTCAAATCTTTCCCAAAATGTTAAATTCCAGGTTTCAAATTGAGAAAAATAAATGTTTTAGGCAAAAAAAAACAAAAAACATCTGGCTCTTTCAGATTTCCTCACCAAAATTTGAAGAAAAAGAAAAAAATGATAAATCCTTTTTGAAGATTTTTCAGTGACGTTTATATTTTGGATGCATTATTTTAAAAATTTATGACAGCTTTTATAGTCTTTATGGAGTCATAGGAATACCCCTCACCACCCACCAAAAAAAAAAAAAATTTTTAATAAGTCTGGAAAACAAAAACTTGCAGAAAATCATGTTCTGTATGTGTTCATACAATTGATATACCTACTGAATTATAATTTAATGAAAATCTCTCTTGAAGAATTTCTATTATAATTAGGCTTGTGAGTGATGTCAACTGATTTTTTTTTTTTTAATATTTTATACACATATTTTTAGTGTGTTTCAAGACTTTGAAAAATTTATCAAGTTAAACATTGTAAGATGTACACAAATTATGAGGCCATATGACCCCCCCAAAAAAAAATCACCCATTTTTTTTTTTTTCCTCCTCCAAAAATTCATACTGTGGCAGTGAAAAAACAATGCTTCAATTTCCAGGATTTTTAGAACACTGAACAAACATGGCATAAAAGTATCTCCAAAATGAATATCTGATATCCAAGTTTAGGCAGTAATAAGATAAAAGAGAAACAGATCAATTTCGGCACATTGGGAAAGAATTTGTACATGTGCATTATACACACACTGGCAATCCTTAATAAGAGGTTTTGTCAATATCAAACAGATTCTGTTTCTTGTTGGAAAATTACTTGTCCACAGTGAGTTTGTGGGATTAAAATAGTTCGTGTGTCTCCATTAAGATTTGAACCCTGTTCTTGTAGTAGAGTCTGGTAAGCCATGTTCATCATGGCTACATCAGACACATTGTAGTTGATTGTCTCTCCTTGGCAATCAGTGGCAATCACTAGGTGGCTATTCTGTAAAGCTGCTTGTAACTGAAGTTGACTGCAATTTGCTCCCGAGTTGACAATGAGATTGACTGTGTTTGTAATATCTGTATCAGTAGCTGACATCTCCATTGGGGATGCCAGTGTGTCTGTCTCTTCATTTGCTGCTGTTGTCAGAGAAACTGGTGCCGTTGTTGTTGTTGTCGTTGGTGTGGTTGTAATATTAGTTGCTGCTGGTTTTGGAATACGGGATTTTGTTTGCTGAATACCATGCATTTTCAGCTCATGTCGTTGCAAGTGATGTTTGTGTCGGAAGATATAGCCACACAAGGAACACTTGAACTTACCTTCAGTTGTGTGTGCACGGAAGTGAGCTTGACACATCACATCAGTCTTAAATCTCCATGTACAACCAGGAAAAGTGCAGGCAAATGGCCGGCTGGGGTCATGAACCCGCTTGTGTTTATTCAACGTTGACTTGTCAGTGTAGGCAAATCCACAAATGTCACATATCACACTGCCCTCATTGTGAAGCTGCCTGTGAGCATGAATAGCAGCGTTTATGGTTGATGTGAATTCACACTGGCTGCATTTGTAGGCTTCTTTCTTGTGTGTACGCTGATGAGCAGCTAAGTAGGTACGTGTTTTAAAGCTTTTGCTACACACCTCACAGAAAAACATTGCATCTGTCCGGTGGATTTGCATATGCTTACGTAGATATCGTAGTTTGCTGAATACTTTAGTGCATTTGGAACAAGGGTATGAGCCAAGTAGATCCTGTTTTTCAACACCACGCACTCTCTTAGAACTATTTGATCGATTTTTGAAACGGCTAAAGACAGATTTATTGTATTCGGACATTTTCATAAGCCTTTGATTATCTCCAAGTTGCATATTTGTGCTGTTTAGCTGCATGTTATTTAGATCAGGTTGGTTAAGAATATCCAAGTGCCGATCACGCATGTGTTTTGTCATTGAATTTTTCCAGTGCGTTTTGTACATACAGTGCAAACATTTGAAGGATTGCTTGCCATATGTGAACGAACTTCCCCGAACAACATTAGTGACAAGAATAAAACTAAAGTCGTCATTCCTTGAAGTCATCTGGTGAGACTGCTCATTTTGAATAGCTTCACTCAAAGAATGAATATCCTTTTCAAGTTCTTTTTTATTCTCTTCTGGCTCAACAATGACATGGTTGGACATGTCATCTAATGACATGGAACCAGGATTTTCAAAATGCTCTGAAAGATTTATAATGTCTTTAGACATATTTATCACTTCTTCCTCACCACCCACATCTCCCAAATTGTTATCATCATCTTCTTCATCATCATCATCATCATTTAAGGCATTTCCACCTGTAATGACAGTTTCATCAACATCCAAATGTCTACCAGTGTGACCATTACTTTCACCCACATCATTTGACTGCCCAACACCTGTTGAAAGCATAGCTGACACATCCTCAGAGTTTGGACATCCATTTTCCATCATAACACCAACCATCTGTAAATCTCTGACTGTTTGATTGACAACACCAGAATCAGAAAGATCCAATTGTGTACCACTGATGAGCAGGTCATTGTCTTCAGATGACTCTTCAGATGGTAATGGCAACTCATGGCTAAGTCGATTGCCATTCAAAACATCCACACATAGCGGTTGTGTCTTCTGCTGTCCTTGTACCATCAACATACTCTGTGCTGCTGTCTCCAAGAGATCATCAGTTTCATCATTAATAGCAGTTACTTCAGATGTCATTTCTGGCAATTCTTCTTTTACCAAAGAGTCAGTAAATGGTTCAAAATCTCTTGTCAACAGGCTCACTTTTCGGGCATTCGTCAAGTTCAAGTGAGGAGAAATACAAGGTTTACTTTTGCCAAGAAATATCTTGTGCTGTCTGCGATAATGTTCCTTGAGTGACACTTGTCGAGAGAAGAAGGCCCCACACACACCACACCCAACTTTGGAGGTTGGAGAAACAT